GCACACCATGGTCAACTGGCATAACATAGTCCACAAAGCAGTGTTCTGCATCCTGCTTTGATGACTAGCCTTTGGGATCTTAAAAGCTCATGAGCAGTCATCTAAGGTGCAGAAGAAAGAAAAGTGATGAAAATTGAAGATACTTAGAATCAACTTGTCCAATGGAGCATGTAAATATCAGTTACTATGATTCTTAGACCAGAAGAACTAGATGGTGCCTGGCTACTACTACTTCCAACTGCTCTGAAAGGGATCACATTAGAAGGTCCCAGATAAAGTGTGAGAAAATGTGGAACAAAACTCATAATTATAAAAAACAAAAATCCAGGCTTACTGGTCAGAAAGAGATGAGAGGAACACAACACTGTGGCACTCAACACCTTTGTTTCTCAATTTTCAGCCAAGTAGTAGATATATAGGGAGGGATAACAACATTAGTGAAGTGTGCTCACTTTGGAATTCAAGGTCAAAATTTACCTACAGACAAAGTTGAGCAGGAATGTGACAGAGGGTGGAATGGAAATAGGAACCATAGGGGAGGAGTGGGATAATTGTTAAAGGGAGGGGGTTGTAATCATTGAGATAAAACAAAGTTTATAATTTGTTGAATGTAAAACTGATGATCTCATCTGTAAACCTTCACTCAAAATAAAAAGTTTAAAAAAAGAAAAGGTCATTACAAAGACAGGAAAGATTGGTTGTTTGATGATGATGCATGGAGGGGATGGTAACCATGGCAATGAAACGATATATGATAGGATGAATGTAAAGCTAATGTTCTCCCATGTAAACTATCACATAATTCTCAATAAAACACTAAAAAAATATAAAAAGGCAATTTAAACAACTACAACAAAAAAGACAGGAAAGGAAGAAGAGACCAAAATGGATGTCAGAGAGTTGAACAGAAAAATTTCAAAGGCCAGCTTGAGAAAGCAAAGTTAAGTATTGTAATGAAATGTGCAAAGACCTGGAGTTGAGAAACCAAAAGGGTTTTTCAGCATATCTCAAGCTGAAAGAAATGAAGAAAGTATTCAAGCTTCGAGTTGCAATATTGAAGGGTTCTAAATAAGGAGCTTAGCTAGCATAGTGGTTACAAATTGGGCTGCTAATGTCACGGTCAGCAGTTTGAAACTGCTAACTGTTCCGCAGGAGAAAGATGAGACTTTCTGCTCCCATAAAGATTTACAGCCTTGGAAACCCTGTAGTGGGTCGCTATGAGTTGGAACCGACTCCTTGGCACATAACAACAACAACATTGCCAAAATGAAATCCTGGTGTAGCGCTGTAGGATAATCACTGGACTGTTAACCACGTGTCAGCAGTTCAAATTCACCAACCGTTCCTCGGAAACCCTATAGAGTTTGCTGAGTTGAAAGCAACTCAGCGGCACTTACCAGTAGCAACAATGGGTAAAATATTGAATGATGGAGAAGGCATCAAAAGAACATGGACTGTACCATAAATTTCTGTTGCCCTTGAGATGAGAGAGAGAAGAGGAAGAGCTGGTGATCTGGTGTGGGGAGATTTGGAAATTCCTGAACCCATGGACACTGACCTAAGCCATTGGAGGCTAGAGCTGAGAGTGAAGCGTCCAGCTTATATGAACTGGGGGTAGGCATGCAAGAATACCCAAACTTGCAGATAGTACCCATTTGACCTAGCTTGGATGGCTTGATGATCAGAAGTCAATTAGAGGAAGATAAAGAAATTTGATGCAGGAAGCAAGTGTAAATTGCTACAATTTGATGAATTTGACCTTTGGTTGAAGATGTGTAACAACAATGGGGGGGTGGGTGGATGGTTAATATTACATTCTAGAAACAGAAGACCTTAGGACCATCAAGATGGAAGAGCATAAGCGGAACATGGGATCCAAACCAGAGAAGAAGTGACACCAGAGACAAAAGCAGAAGCGATGGCATGGAGAGATAGAGCAGCTGAGGACTCCAGACTCATGGAAAGAGAAAGACTGGCTTGTAAAATGTGCCTTTTGGTTGTTTAAACGCTTGTATATTCCTGCATGTTTTTGTGAACATTAAAAAAAAAAGAATAGAGGCAAATATTATTAACTGATGGCACATAGAGAGAATTAGAATCATCTCAATGAAACAAGTATGATTGGTTGAGTACAAAACCCATGTTCTCCAATGTAAACTATCACTCAATTCACAATAAAAGCTTTTAATAAAAAAAAGAAATTGGAAGGTATGCAGAGTCATTTTACCAATAAGAATTGGTTGATGTTCAGCCATTTCAAGAGGGTAGCATATGATCAAGAACCAGTGGTACTGAAAGGAAAAGTCCAAGCTGCACTAAAGGCATTGGCAAAAAAAAACAAGGTTCCAGGAATTGATGGAATCCAACTTGAAATCTTTCAACAAACTAATGAAGCACTGGAGGGATTCACTTATCTATACCAACAAATTTGAAAGGCAGCTACTTGGCCAACCAATTATAAGAGTTCCGTATTTGTACCCATTCCAAAGAGAGATGGCCCAACAGAAAGCATAAATCACAAAGCAATATCATTAATATCACATCCATGTAAAATTTTGCTGAAGGTGATCTTTAAATGTCTGCAACAGTACATCAACAGGGAGATGCCAGAAATCCAAGCCCGATTCACAAGAGAATGTGGAACAAGTATATCATTGCTGAAGGGAATACTGAATGGTTTAAGATCAGTAAAGGTATATCCCAGGGTTGTATCCTCTTACCATACTTAGACAAACTGTATGCTGAGCAAATAATTTGAGAAACTGGATTATATGCATCAGGATTGGAGAATAACTCATTAACAACCTGCAATGTGCAGATAATGCAGCCTTGCTTGCTGAAAGTGAAGAGGACTTAAAATACTCCTGAACATTAAAGACCACAGCCGCAGTATGGATTGCACCTCATTGTAAAGAAAAGAAAAATCCTCACCACTGGACCAATAAATAGCATCATGATCAATGGAGAAATGATTGAAATTTTCTAAGACTTCATTTTGCTTGGATCCACAATCAACACTCATGTAAGCAGCAATCAAGAAATCAAATGACATATTGTATTAGGCAGGTATGCTATACATGACTTCTTTAAAGTGTTCAGTAACAAAGGTGTGCCTAACTCAAGCCATGGTATTTTCAATAACATATTCATGTGAGTGCTGAACATTGAATTAAAAAGACTGTACAAGAATTGATACATTTGAGTTATGGTGATGGAGAAGAATATTAAAGTACTGTGGACTGCCAGAAGACTGAATAAATCTGTTTTGGAAGAAGTATAGCCAGAATGCTTCTTAGTAGCCTGAATGGAAAGACTTCACCCTCTCATACTTAGGTCATGTTGTCAGGAGGGACCAGTCCCTGGAGAAGGACATCATGTTTCATAAAGTGGAGGGTCAGTACAAAAGAGGAAGATCCCCAATGAGATGAATTGGCACACTGGCTGTAGCAGTAGGCTAGAGTGTAACAACAATTGTGAAGATGGCATAGTACAAGGCAATGTTTCATTTTTGTCGTGCATAGCATCACTATGAGTTCGAGCTGTCTTGATAGGACCTAACAGTAATAGTAACAATAGAGTTTACATTTATCTCAAATTATTGCAATATTAATCTTTAAGTTTCTCCTTTGCATGTTTTGAATGTGTTTATTTGTAGATCATAGCATAATTTTTAAACATTCCCTTAAGAATCCTGCTCAATTTTATTGTGTACCTTTTTGTTCTTCCATTACTCTTATTTATTTCTCCAGTCTGTTCTTTTTATGGCAGCGCGATTTTTTTTTCTTCCTGTGGTAAAATGTTTTTGTTAAGTGTGGTCAAGTCAATACATACTCATAGTGAACATTGTATAGGTTTCCAAGGAGCGGCTGGTGGATTTGAGCCACTTAAATTTGCATTTCAACAATCTTAATATGCACAGTTCAGCGACAGTCACATTTACTATTGTAACTTATTTTTCTCCTTTGAAAAATCCTGCAGTCAGAAATCCTGGCTGCCCATTTGGAAGACGCAGCAAACAGGTCTACTTTTTTTTTTTTTAATAATCCAATGTATGTTTGTAAAGCATTTATTTAGACAATAAACAGATGTTCTGTCAAGTAGTAGTAATAAGCTTAGGTGAAAATCCTTTGGTGGTGTTTTACATTTTCCTAAAAAAAGTGTTCTTGAAGGTGTGAAGCTCTCTTATTTCTCTCCTACTTTTAGGTTTTGTTTAGGAAAGTGCTAAAACCTAAAAGTACTGATGTCAGGCAATGTTGCATCATTATCGTGCCTGTTTGCTTCCCTATCCACTTCTACCTTTAATTCATCTTTATTTTCATCACTTTTATCAGGAATCAAATCAAATCTGGCTCATAATTTTGGTGTATGCATCTATTCCTACATGTGTACATATTATTTCAGTATGCAAAAAAAAACCCCAAAACTTCCTGCTTCTGTGCTATATGTCTTTTAAAAGTTCTGATGCTCATTTTTCAGTCACTTAATAGTCTAGTTGCCTTTGTTCGTCAGATAATATGGGTAAGAAGGATTGTTGATGTTAAGTGCCTTTGAGTCGCTGTATAGGGTTTCTAAGGAGGGGCTAGTGAGCTTGAACCACTGACCTTGCAGTTCAAACCGGCCTTGTAGTACATCACATTGACCCACAGTGCCACACAAGAAGGATTAGATGTTTTTTTTTTCATGGTCAAGGGACATTCTGTGGTATAACTTTTTTATGTCTTCAGATAAAAAAACAACGATTTTTGTTGTGAACAGCAAGATACAGTTTTATGACACTCTGAGAGCCTTAATGAAAACTAATTATGGCAAGCCTAAAACATTGGTATGACCTCTGCTCTGCTTAAGCTAGCAGAGCCAGGGTATTTCAGTTGTTTCATGCATCTTACCAACATTAGTCACAGAGTTCTGTCTGTTAGATAAGTGTAGGTGCAATTGAGGAAATGCTATGAGTAGGCCATGTAATTATGAACTGCTTATTGTATTCTGTTATTTCTCCAAAGGTACAAAATAATTACTGGGAAGCCTTCTGGTGCAATATCTGGAGTGCAGAAAGCAGAAAATGGACCGATTGACTGGAGTGGAGATATGCCTATCTCTTGTAGTCTTTCCAGGTAAGTACCATGTAGGTATTTCTCTTCTTCACTTTGGTGTTTGAAATATTTGTTTACTGAAATCACAAATACTCATATACTTAAGTGCAGGATTATGGGTGTTTGTTTTTTTTTAAATTTTTTAGATGCTATTTAAAGCATATGCTGTGTACATATGGGAGAGAAAAATGTTTCTTAATTGAAAAAAAAGGAAAAAGAAAGGCAAACAATAAAGCATACTTTGTAAGTGATTTTTGCCTTTGTGATGATATGAAAATTTATTCTGATTTATATAAATAATTTCACTAGTTCTGTCTTAAGAAAAATGCATACGTTGTTGGGATTGCTAATCTCCAGCTCAGGACCATGATAATTTATATACTGACCTCTAAATTGACCATAAGTAGTTACATAGATAAAAGTAAATTTCTCAACTGGAGTACTAAAAAGTAAAGTTCATTATTTTAGAATTTCCTCTGAAAATAAAATCATGACAGTTGTCAACATTCAGAATTTATGGTTCTTTAACTTCCATTTTTCTTGAATTTGCTGGTTGTACAATCTTTTACGATTGTATACACAACTATGATAAATTGTGGGTGATTTTTATGACTATGAACATAGAAATAAATATAATCATCTAAAGTATTACTTATTTTTTTAACTTTCCAAAATGAGATTGCTCCTTACAAGTAGAATTACCAAGAGAAATTCACTGTGTTAGAGAGCGGAAATTTAATATTATAAGGTTATTTCTGTTAACTTTTTGTTATTTTAAAAGTTTGTATTGTGAATTGCAGATAGTTTACATGGGAGAATATTGGTTTTACACTCATTGTTTCATTGTAACGATTACAATCTCCTGTATGTATCATCATTCAACAGTATTTGCTTCTGTTTCCTCTGATTTTTTTGGTGGGGGGATGTACACAAAAACTCTCAGGAATGTATAATCATTTAAACAACCAAAGGGCACAGTTTTTTACAAGCCTGCCTCCTGGCTGCCAGCACCTGGCCACCAGCACACAGCTTTTCTCTTACAATGAGTCTAGAGTCTTCAACTGTTCTACCTTTCCATGTCCTCATCTTATTTGTGCTAACTTTTGATTTAGGAAATACTCGTCTTAAATCTCAGTCAAAACTGGCAAAATTTAAAGATCTAGGGAAACTGACATTTGTTTAAAAATTGTGTTGCTAAAATGAATAATTTTACAATCTAAACTTCAATATACTTATTTCCAGACAATAACACTCCTTATATATCTAATCAATTTTGGCACACCAAGTTATATAATCTTTGATAAAAGTTGCTTAAGTACGAGAAAATATAGTATGTAACAGTTTTTTTTTTGAAATAGTAAAAGATTTGAAATACCACAAATTGGCAATGATGACTACTACCAAAAATGTTACAACTGCGTAAAAAGAGAACCGTAGCCTCCTTATGTGTATTATATTTGTCAACACAGGATAGAACATAACTGATTTGTGTGAAAAAAGAAATAGATGGACTTTATAATGAAAACTTCACAGCTCACCTGAATCTCAGACTGTATATCAAGACTTGGTGGCTTTCTGGTTTTTTGGGATGTGCTTTTCTCTGATTTCTCTTCATACTCAAGCTCTTTCCTGGACTCAAATTCTTACAGCTTTGAAAGTCCAGTGGGAAGACAGACTGTCTTTCCTACTAGTTTTAGCAAAGATTCTAAAGTTGATTCTCATGGACTGAGTCATTGATTCTCAATGACTCAACAGCCATGGGCTGTCAAGCACATTTATGTACAGGGAGTGGGATTACAAATAACGAGGTGGATTTTCTTACCAACAGGAGGGAGAATGAGCACTTGTTAGGCAAAATTTAAAATGTCCTCTGAATGCTTATTCATAAGCAAACAGTTCTCACTATTAACAGAGAAGGGATGATTTCCACTATCTGTCATGTAGTCAAATGTGTATTTTTAAGATTGTTCAATTTCCATAATTGGGATATATTTGAGCATGCTTCCTAATATGGTGAAAGCATGAGAAAGAGTAAAGATCATTCATTTGCCTGAAATTATACAAGCTTAATAAAAAAATATATATTTCTTATTAAATTTACCAGTTGATTGCTAGATTATTGTTTTAATTTTACTTCCTAAAGCAGTACACCAAATAGGACATATAGAATTAGATACTGGGGAGTCATATTAAAAGGACATTGAGAGAACAAACAAGATGGCGGATCAGGTGGAAGTGCAGTAAAGAGCTCTGTCTGCAACAACACAAAATACCAGAACAAATAGGCTCAGGGGATGGTGCCAGAACTCTGAACCACATATGAAGGAACATTTAGAAGGTTGGAAGGCTTACAGGGCAGTTTGTAGAAGAAGCAAGAAATCCATTGCTTTCTAATTCAAGACACTCAACTGCTCCCAGAGCCACCATCTTGGGCAAGACCAAGCAGGGAAAGGATCAGAGCAGCCACGGACGCCTGACAGAACTACAGATAAAGGTGTGGACATTCTTTTTTTTTTTGGTATCTGTTCATTGATCTCTCGCTGTCTGTGCACCTCTGATTCTGGTGACTAGAGGGGGTGCCTGAGAGAGTGGACACTCTACCCTCACCCCTGGAGGGTTCTGCTACTGTTCATGCACACAGATCTCCTCCAAATTTAAAGTGACAGTTTCCATTTAAAACCAAATGGCCACAGCTGGTCTTGAATGTTTGTCATTAGGAAAAAGGCCTGAACAGGGATTGTGGAGCAGGACAGGCAGACTAAAAATGAAATAGGCCGAAAATTAAATCCTGAGTTAACGTTACAACGACCAGCATTGGCATCTTGAAATTTCTCAGGAAGAAGAGTGAAAGGGAAGCCTATCTCCTGACCACATCTACCTGGAGGCAATCAGAAAGCATAAAAAATACCAAAATGCACACCCATCTAAGTATTAAGGCCACAGATAACTCCTGAATATGCCCAAAAAAGAGAAGCAGATGACCATATCTGCACATGTCCAGAAACAAGATAAAGTGACGGAGGCAAATGAGGTAGAAGTAGACCTACGCTCCATACTGGAAGATGGGCAGGCTTTGGAAATGCCAGAGAAGGAATTCAGAAAAATGATTATCAAAACACTGTACAATGGAGTTGAGAAAAATAAGGAAGAAGTCAGGAAAGCACTACAGGAACAATCAAGTAAAATAGATACATCATTGGAAACAATTCAAAACCTACAGAAAGAGATTCAAATAATTAATAGAATATGAGAAATGGACAATACACTGAAAGGGCAAAGGAGTAGAATTGAAACTACAGAAGCCAGAACTAGTGAGCTAGAAGATAAATCTCTCAACACTACTAAGATAGAAGAGCAAACACATAAAAGGATAAAAAAAAAATCTGAAGAAGGCCTAAGATTCATTTTGGACAACATGAAGAGGAATAACATAAGAATTATCGGCATTCCAAAACAGGAAGAATCACACAAGTCCACAGAGGAGATAGTTGAAGAGCTTCTGGACAAAAATTTTCCTAACATCCTAAAAAGCGAAACGATGAGCATTCAAGAGGCTCAACGAACCCCAGGAAGGATAGACCCTAAAACACAATCACCAAAACATATAATAATCAAGCTCTCCAAAATCAAAGATAAGGACAGAATCCTGAAAGCAGCTAGGGAAAAGAGTAGTGTAACATACAAAGGCAAGCAAATCAGATTAAGCTCGGATCTCAACAGAAACCATGCAGGCAAGAAGGCAACGGGGAGACATATATAAAACCCTGAAAGAAAAAACTGCCACCCAAGGATCCTCTACCCAGCAAAGTTGGCAATCAAATATGATGGTGTAATCAAAACATTCCAGGATAAACAGAAGCTAAGGGATTTTGCCAAAGCCAGCCCTGCTATGAAAAACATCCTAAAAGAAGTTCTGTGGAATGAGAACCAACAAAACCAAACAACAACTAGAAAATGATGTGCGTGGCATCATCACCCTGAACTCAGTCGACAAATGGAAGAGTCAAGAACAGAATAAAATCATAAGAACAGAGGATCTCGGAGGCCAGTCTATGATCAACACAATTACAATGTGAAAGAAAGTAAACACAGAGATCCAGGTGGTGAGAAGTTCAGGTAGATTACAGGATAAAATAGACTGTCTTCAATAGAGAGAAGAATTAATGGACTATAAGGTAACCACAACAATGGGGTTGGGGTCGGGGGTTTAGTTCAGTAATACAAGAAGAGGGAGGAGGCAGAAAAACAAGATAGATAGGGGAACACTGAGACAGGTTTGCATGTCCTAAGTGGGACAGAGGTAAATAGTGATGCATGCTCAACCTTGGAACAACAGGGCTCTGGGATACGGAGATCTAAGTATAACTTGAAGAGGAGAAATAATACTAAAATGCTTTACTCTCTTAAGAATATTAGTCTTCCTTGCTTACTATTGTAAAATTGACATTTGAGTGGGATAGAAAGGAATGTTGGGAAACATGATTAGAGAAAACTTGTAAGCCTGTCTTCAGCCTATAACTGATTGGGATATCTCAAAGGGGTTCTAAAACTTGCCTAGTGAAATAGGCCTTGTGCAAAGCCTTTACAGAGTATAGGACCTTAGGTGGAATACTGAATCCCATCCAGAACCTTGTGAGGTGGGACATTCCCACTAGAAAGGACAAGCAGACCAGCCTGGAACAGCTACAGTGACAGAAGATACATCTTCAAAGAAAGATCATCAGGAAAAACCCAAAACAAAAATGTCAGCAAGACTGGCTAATACAAGAATAAGCTAGCTGTTTGCCAGGAAGACATCAAGGCTAGCATCAGGTTCCTTCAGGACAAACTCCCCTCTAAGACTGAAACTCAAAAAGCATGTAAGCTTGCTGGTGACCACATTGGTCTACTGGTGAGTGGAAGAGGGGGAAAGGTAGCAATGAAGAAATGGGCTGAGTTCAACCATAGTCCATTGACCCCCATTGACCTGGAGATGAGAGAAAGAAGAGGAAGGGCTGGTTGGTTCAAATTGTGGTGAGACCTGAGGACATTTGAGCCCATGGACAAGGACATAGCCACAGAGGGCTAGAGCTGAGAGTGAAGCATCCAGCTGATATGAAGTGAGGAGAGATGCACAAGAACACCCAAACTTGCAGACAGTACCCATTTGATCTAGCCTTAATGGCTCGATAATCAGAACTTGACTAGAGGAAGATTACAAAATAAATAAATAAATATTTTAAATAAAGGAAACAAGGGTAAATTGCTACGATTTGATGAACCTGACCTATACTTAGAGAGGTAGTTACTCTCAATACCAACAGAGAGGGAAGGAGGCTTCACAAAGTATCAGTGCTATCCCCTCTGTACACAGGTTAGATAGGGGCGAGCAACTTAGACATTGGCTACCTAAAATGTTGTTGTTATTGTTAAGTGCTGTGGAGTCGGTTCCAACTCATAGCGACCCTGTACAGGGTTTCCAAGACTGTAAATCCTTACAGGAGCAGAACGCCTCATCTTTCTCCCGCGGAACCGCTGGTAGTTTCGAACTGCTGACCTTGCGATTCACAGACCGATTCGTAACCACTACGCTACCAGAGCTCCATTACCTAAAATGAGGAGGTGATAAAGGCACAAAGTGACTGGCTTACAAGGTTTCAAGAGGGAGTTTAGTTTAAGAATATGGGGGTAAAGAAAGAGTCCCCACTGAATAGATTTCATCTGTTCTAGGTGGGTCTGGTGAAAGGAGATGGGGATAAGATTCATATGATTCAGTAGTGAATAATTGTTATCATGACCAATTGCGACTGTCACAGTTGTAAAGGTAGAAGTTTTATAACAAAAACAGGGGAGTAGTTAATCTTACAGTCCAGAAACAGAGGACCCTAGGACCATCAAGGGAGAAGCGTACAAGCAGAATGCAGGACCTTATCCAAAGAAGCAGTGATGTCAGAAATGGAGGCAGAGATGGGGTCATGGAGAGGTGGAGAGGCTGAGGACTCTATATTTATGGGAAGAGAGGGACTAAGAGCTGGTGGCCAGGAGGCTGACTTGCATAACGTGCCCTTTGGAGATGTAAATTTTTATATATACCTGAGTGTTTTTTTGTTTTGTTTTGTTTTTTAAAAAACTAAAGTGGATAGAGAGAAATACTGTTAACTGATGATACATGGAGGGAATTATAATTATTGTAATGAAACAAGGTATATGATTTGTTGAATGTAAAACTGATGATCTGGCCTGTAAACTTTCACTCAATCCACAATAAAAAAACCTTAAAAAATGACTGGCTTGCAAGCTTTCAAGAGGGAACTTAGATCCAAAGGGCGTGAAGGAAGGCAGAATCTCCACTTAGTAGTATCCAGTCTATCTAGGCAGGGCTGATGAAATGAAATGAGGATATGTGTCTTGTGATACAATAGTGAATAATTGTTATCAGGACTGATTGTGAGGGTTGGAAATGTAAAGGTAGACCTTTTGTAGCAAGGAGGGGAGTGATTAATTTTTCAGTCTAGGAGCTGAGGTCCCTGGGGCCATCAAGGGAGAAGAGCAGAGAGTGGGACCCTACCCAGAGAAGCAGTGATGCCTGAAATGGAGGCAGAGACAATGGCTTGGAGAGATGGAGCAGTTTGGGGACTTAAGACCCAGAGAGGGAGACGGGCTGTGTGCTGACGACTAGGGGGGCAGGCAACCCTTTGGTTGGTTGATGCATGGAGGGGATTGTAACCATGGCAATGAAACAATATACGATAGTATAAATGTAAAAACTATCACATAATTCATAATAAAACATTTAAAAAAAAAAAACCTTTAATAAAAAAAAAAAGGACATTGATCCCTCTTAATGCTGGAAATCAAACTATAATTTCTTCTCCTTATGGTATCATGATTCTATCAGCTGATTTCGTGCAGGTGGCCATGATGTACAATATTATAATGTGTTTGAAAAGTGAAACCTGGGAATAGAAATCAAAGAAAATAGTTCGTGAATGATAAGTTAATTTAAAACTACTCTTCATCCTAATTCATTGGAAAGTGATATTAAACTTAGACTTTCTGAAAATCTGGCAGATCCTTGAAATTTTTATTAATCTAATTTAAAAATAGTAACATTTGTTCATTTGATTTGTTAGTAAATACTTTGATTTTGTATTAAACAAGTTGAAGTTCACTCTTTGTAATTTTTTTCAATACTATTTTAGGGGTCTGCAAGTTCTACTTACCCCTGTTCTTGCAAACATCCTTGAAGCAGATCAGGAAAAGTGTTGGGGTTTTGATCAGTTTTTTGCAGAAACTAGTGATATACTTCACCGAATGATAATTCATGTTTTTTCGCTACAACAAATGACAGCTCATAAAATTTATATTCACAGCTATAATACGTAAGTACGTTTTTTCTTTTCTTCTTGTTGCAAAATGTTGTTATATAATAAAGATCATCATAAATTAGGAGAAGAAATAGAAAAGATAGCTGAACTTTACCATATGTAACTACTTACACTTAGGAAATTGTTTTTGTCCTTAGTATATTTATCTTCACTTATTTTTTAAAGTAAAATGATTAATTTTCATTTCTGTACCCTACCTTGAATTGTATAATCACATAACCACAAATAGCATCTACTAAGAAATGGACTGGTTTTATTAAGAGTACTATAGTATGTCATTTTAAAAATATTATAGCATAAATCATAAGAGTTAGTCTGTGGTGCTGTAGGATAAGTGCAAGACTGCAAGGTTGGTTTTGAACTACAAGGTTGGTGGTGCAAACACAGCAGTCGCTCCTTGGAAGCCCTATACTGGGTCGTTGTAAGTCGAAACTGACTCAACAGCACTTAAAAACCTATGACATATCACACTTAATTAGGTACTTGATGCATATGGGATAATTTATTTTCATAAAAGCATATTACATCTCATCTACCCATAAAAGTAAGTACACACACACACATTTTTATGTAAAACTGGAGAAATCTGAATAAGATATGTGGGTTCTAGTGATGTTAGTATTCTAGCAGTAGTATGGTTCTATAGTCAGTTACGTAAGATGTTACCTTTGGGTGAAGGATATGTGATATTTTTCTGTGTTATTTTTTAAAACTGCATATGAATCTACAATAGTCTGAAACTAAAGTGTTTTTTAAAAATTGTTTATACCATAATTTTTGTTTTGACAAGATATGAATAAGCAATTTATAAAATTCACTAAAAGAGACTTTTGCTGGTATCCTATTAAGAAATAAAATCAGATAAACTGATATATAAAATATATTATCTTTATTTTGGTTCTTAATAGGGCTAAATAAATAAATACTCATCATAGTTAGGCATTTGTCATTGTTTTCATTTTAGAAGTTTACTTGATCAAAAGCCTACCCAAGCTGGATCCAAGTCAGCAGAGGCTTGTGGCATGCCAGGCTTTGTGTTAAGATATCATTGTTGCTGAGACATTTCTTTGACTTCATAAAAACAGGGATTCTGACTTTTCCCCCAGAGCATCCATTTTAAAATTCCTGATCTTAATAATTTCTTTTTAAAACATTATATAGTAATGTTTCAAGTACTTGTCTCAGTTCTTTACATATTTATTATTTGATCATCACAACAGTTCTGTGTGGTGACACTTATTATTATTCCCTTTGTGCTAAGATGAGGAAACTTAGCATTGTAAGAGTTAGATAATTTAAGGTAATACAGCAAGTAAGTGTAAAGAGCTGGGATTTAAACCTGAGTGAAAAAGGAAGACCCTCAATGAGATGGATTGACACAGTGACCACAACAGTGACCTCAAACACAGCTGCGATGATGAGGATGGTGCAGTGTTTCTTTCTGTTGTGCATAGAGTCACTGTGAGTTGGAACCAACTCAGTGATACCTAACAGCAGCAGGCTGACTGCAGGATCAGTGTTGTTAGCCTCTCTGCTTTGTTGATTTCCATTGTTAGATACTAGTAATACTTTATATTATGTAGGTATCTAAACATAAAACATATTTTATAATTGATTGCTTTGTAGATGGTTGGATATGTAAAATGTTTTGTTTAATAATGTTTTTCATTACCCATTTAACAAGACAGCGTATATATGGACTGAACATGATCTTAGAAATATACTCCAAAACAGATATTGTAGGTTTCATCATTAAAAAATGTGAGGGAGCTTTTTAGCTCTCATTTTATCCCCAATTATAATGTCATTTTGGTTTTTCCCACATAGTGCAACTGTATTTCATGAACTGTTATATAAACAAACAAAAATTACTTCTTCAAATCAAGAACTTATCTATGAAGGACGCCGCTTAATTCTAGAACCTGGAAGACTGGCACAACATTTCCCTAAAACAACTGAGGGAAATCCCATCTTTTTAGTAAGCCGGGAACCTTTGAGCACTATAGGATTAATATATGAAAAAAGTAAGTTGGAATTTTTCTGCTTAGCCCTACTAGCCAATAAAAAATAATATTGAGGATATAAAAAGATTTGTGATTTTCATAAAATTGTTTGATGATGACCCTAATGTAGAATTTTCTTAATTATTAACATTTTATAAACTAGTTGAAAGAGAATAGTAGTAAAATTTACAAGCCTCATAGTCACATAATTTAGTTTTCAGATATTTTATTTAAAATAGTAGTTTATTGGTGTGCATTTACTGTAGCACTCTGCTTTAAGTACTTTGCTAACAGTCAAATAGTTTGTGTCCCCATAATTTCAACAAATATCATGTGCCCAATGTATATATGACACTGTCCCATGCTTTAGATTCTAAGAACAGTGAGCTTCTTTTTACATTTTGGAATCTTTTAAATTATTTTCCTAGGGAAAACAAATTATTCAGATTTAAAAATTTTCTTTTTGGGGCATTAGAATTTGATTTAGATTTAAAGAGAAGTTATTTATTTAAGAAAATTGAAACTCCCTAAAAAGATTAGAAATAATTTGTTATGAATAACACTGATGGGTGTTTTTAACGAGGAAAAATTCATTAATGAGTTATTTTTGACTAATACTAGCTTAGATATCCCATATGGTTTACAAAGGATAAAGGTAATTTGTAAAAATTCTTCATGTCTCATTTTAGGTTTTAAATTTCCTATTTCCTATTTTATTTCACATTTCAGTTTCTCTCCCCAAAGTGCATCCACGTTATGATTTAGATGGGGATGCTAGCATGGCTAAGGTTAGTATTTAATTGGATTACTTCATAAAAAATATGAACTAAAATTATCATATCAATAGTAAAAGCAATATAAGTATTTTGTCTTTATATATGCCTACCTGACAAAGGAAATTATTCATTTAAATTGTTATCTTTTCTGTCTTAGTTCTTTCATGTTTTTCTTTACTTTCTAGCTTTTCCTCAAACTTACTATACAAAAATTCTATAGAGACAATGCATGTTTAGTTAATGTAAATGATAAAATAATTATCATAGCTGCATCTATCCTTAGCTTTTAGAGGTTGGTAGTTTATTCTATTCTTAATTAACTTGATAAAAATGTATAAACTTGGAAAATTGAGTGTAAAATTTTCCTTACACTGTACACAGTTAATCCCAAATAATTGACATTTCTTTGTTCATTAGGCAATGACTGGGGTTGTGTGTTACGCCTGTAGAGTCGCCAGTAGCCTCTTGCTTTACCAGGAATTAGTCCGAAAGGGAATACGATGGTTGACGTAAGTAATAGATCAGAAATTAATCTTCACATACAACCAGAAAAATCAAATCCATTCCATTAAGTCATTTCCAGCTCATATTGACCCAGTAGTACAGATTAGAACTACACTATAGAGTTTATAAGACTGTAATATTTTCTGTTGCGGAGTGGGTTATTGTTGTTGTTAAGTGCCGGTGAGTCACTTCTGACCCATAGCGACCCTGTATAGGGTTTCCAAGGAGCAGCTGGAAAGCTTGAACCACCAACCTTGCAGTTCAGACGACTTTGCAGTCTAATGCATTAGCCCACAATGCCACACCAGGGCTCCATGGAGTCAAATTACCAAACTTTTGGTTAGCAGCTGAGTGTTTTAACCATTGTGCCATAAGGGATCCTTTGATCTTCATCTATTGTTGTTGGTGGTGGGTGCTGTCAAGTCAGTTCTGACTCATAAAGACCCTGTGCACAGTAGAACTAAACACTGCCCCATCCTACGCCATCTTCACAATCATTGTTAAACGTGAGCGCTTTGCCAATCCATTTTCTTGGGAGTTTTCCTCTTTTTCACTGACCCTCCACTTTGCTTAGTATGATGTTCTTCTTCTCTAGGGACTGATCTCTTCTGATAATATGTCCAAAGTATGAGAGATGAAGTCTCGCCATTCTGGCTTCTAAGAAGCATTCTGGCTGTACTTCTTTCAACACAGATTTGTTTGTTCTTCTGGCAGACTATGGTACTTCAATATTCTTCTTTAACACCAATTCAAACGTACTAATTCTTCTACGGTCTTCCTTATTCGCTGTCCAACTTTCACATACATAGGAAGCTATTGAAAATATCGTGGCTTGGATCAGGAACACCGTAGGCCTTCAAACTGACATCTTTGCTCTTGAACAATTTAAAGAGGTCTTGTGCAGCAGATTTGCCTAATGCAATATGTTATCTGATTTCTTTGTGCTTCCATTAGTGTTGATAGTGGATCCAAACAAAATGAAGTCTTCGACAACTTCAAACTTTACTTCATTTACCATGTTATTTTTGGTACAGTGGTAAGGATTTTTGTTTTCTTTACATTGAGGTGCATCTTGTACTGAAGGCTGTGATCTTTGATCTTCAGCAGTAGGAATTTTAAGTCCTCTTCACTTTCAGTAAACAAGATTGTATCATCTGTATATTGTAAGTTAGTAATGAGCCTTCTTCTTCTGATCCTGGTGCCAATTCATTCCTCTTCATATAATCCAATTTTTCAGGTTATATGCTCAGCATGCAGATTGAATAAGTATGATGAAAGAATACAACCCTGGAACACACCTTCCCTAATTTTAAACCATTCAGTGTTCCCTTGTTCTGTTCGAACTGCTGCCTCTTGTGCAGGTCTACGTGCAGGTTCCTCATGAACACATTGAACTGTTCTGGTGTACTCATTCTCTGCGGTGTTGTCTATAGCTTGTCATGGTCCACACAATTTGAAAACCTTTACATAATCACTGTAGCACAGGTAAACATCTTAATGTATTCTCTGCTTTCAGTCAAGATTCATCTGGTATCAGTAGTGATATTCCTCATTCCATGTTCTCACCTGAATCCGACTTGAACCTCTGGCAGTTCCCTGTAATGTACTTTTGCAAGTGTTTTTGAGTTATCATTAACAAAATTTTAAATGTGATATGAAGATATTGTCCTATTATTTGATATAGACCTCACTAAATTAATAATGATCATCTCTTCTGACACTACCTCTTCAGGCTAAGGTTAGGTGTTTGATTTTGATAATTAAACAGTATTTCACATTTAGTTGGTAAAACATTTTAACGGCTGCCTTTTCATTTTGATTTTCTTAGTAACTTTGTGAAACACGACAAATATAATCTGAATTTTAAAATTTATACCATGCCGTACAATGTGGTAGCACATGAGTTCCTTTTCTAAGAGTCTCAACATACTTGTCATTTCTGTCTTCAAAGACTTTGGCATTTTTTATTTAATACAATCTGTTCTTCTCCCTAGGGTTTAAACTCTCAGTGTCTCATCTGTTTTCTGTCCATTTCCCATCTTTTCCCCAAATGAAATATAGCATACGCACTTATTTTTTTCAAACAGTATTATTGAAATAGAATTCATATACCATACAATATACCTATTTCAAGTGTATAGTATACACCTGAACCACAGTAAAAATTATAAAGTATTCAATACAAAAAAGTGATTTTTTATGTGCTTACAGAGTTGTGCAACATCACCACTATCTAAGTTTAGAAAATTTTTATCACCCTGAAAAGATATCTGTAGTCCTGGTGTGGTGCTGTAGGATAAGCACTGAACCGCATGGTTGGTTTGAGCCACAAGGTCGGCAGTTCAAACTCAACCAACCACTCCTTGGAAACTCTATATAGGGTCGTTATGGGCTGGAACCGACTCGATGGCCCTTACCAACAACCTACAGCCATTAGCAGTCACTCATTTTCTCCCAACCCCTTACAGCTGCCAACCAGCCTTAGATAGATTATAATTAATCTACTTTCTGCCTCTAGGTCCACCTATTCTAGACATTTCCTATAAATCAAAGCAAACAATATGAGTACATAGTCAGCAAGCAATTTAAAAGCTTTTTTTTTAATATATTCTAGGTCAGAATATTAAGCATCTAATTAAGTATTTTCTCTCTGAAAGTGACTCGTAAGATATGTTTTGTGACATATCTGTGAATGTGGTGGTGGAGCATCCAGGAAAAAAATGATGAAAACTTGTTAGAAATTACCAAACACCTTGAGGCAACAAGTTGCTGGACCTGCAGGCTCAGGACCATAGTCTCAGGGGACAGTATGGTCAATCAGCATAGCATAGACCACAAAGACTGTTAAACACAGTCCGCTTTTCTGAGTAGTCACTGGGATCTTAAAAGCTCATGAGCAGTCATCTGAGATGCAACTATGTCTCTCCCTGTATGGATGAAAGAAGTGTGATGAAAATTGAAGATGCGTGGAATCAATTAGTCCAGTAAACTTATCAAACAGAGGAACATCATTCTCCACGACCCCGAGACCAGAAGAACTAGGTGTTGCCTGGCTACCATAACCAACTGCTCTGAAAAGGGGTCACATTAGAAGGTCCTAGATAGAGTGGGAGACAATGTGGAACAGAACTCAATATTGTAAAAAAGACCCACCTTTCTGGTCAGATAGAGACTTGAAGAACCAGAAACTATGACCCTCAGTCATCCTTCAGGTCTGGAGTGGAACTTACCTTAATGGCTTAGTTGTCAGCCAAGCAGTAGATAGGAATATAGGGGGACAACAACACGTGTAAGGTATCCTCACCAAGGAATAATCAACCTTTTGAGATCAAAAGGAGAGTATTTATCTGAGGACAGAGTTCAGAAGGGTTGCGAAGGAGGGTAGAATGGAAACAAGAATCACAGGGACCAAGTGGGATAACTGATGTTATGTGGTTGGGATTGTGATCATTAAAATGAAACGAAGTATATGATTTATCGAATGTAAAAGTGGTGATCTAAACCATAACTCAATTCACAATAAAAAGTTATGTTTTGTGGATGACTATTATTTAAACCTTTTTTTGTTTTGTTTCAACCTTTTCATAACTTACACACATCATCTTTCCATTTGCTGTAAGTGGAGAATAAATGAATCTCTTGAAAATCATGTTTCTAGTTCCATAACATCATTTGAAGCTTTTGAGTTTTCTGCACACATTTTAATAGCCTTTTAGCTAGGAGATTCTAGCATGTGTGTTTGCTGGGCTCATCTTTCTGGCCATAGTGCCCTTGGTCTTCAGTGCTTGTGACAGTCTATGAATAACACGCACCTAGCCTCCTTACAGAAGCCTATGTGAGGCATTTCATCATCCTTGCTCTTTTGCAGTTCTTCTAGAAGTAGTATTTTTCTTTCTGTTGCCTTTATATGATATCCATAAATTTGTTTTTAGAATACTTTTCTGTGTGATCACATATTTTAGATGTGATCACACATTTAATTTATAAGCCTGTGCTTTTTTATTTCCATTAAGACGTCGCCTTATTTGGGTAAATTGTTGTTAAGTTCTGTTGAGTTGGTTCTGACCCTTTGTAGGGTTTCCCAGGCTGTACAACTTTTCGTGAGCAGAAAGCCTCATCCTTCTATCGCAGAATGGCTATGGACTCCCAACGGCCAGCCTTATGGTTCACAATCCAGTACTTATTGCAGGAGCCACCATGCTCCCTTTTTGTTAAATAGTTCCTGAAAAAAAATAGAAGTATTAGCTGCATTTATTTTCATAAGGTTAATAACAACTTTCTTTTTCTCTTGCTATTGGTATCTACTTCAGTCACTGATTCATGACTTTTTTTTTTTTTTTTTTCTGATTAGTAAATCATGAGAAATACTAGTCTTGACTGGGATTGGTAATATTTTAGACTTCGTGAATATTCTTTGCTTTGTTTTCACAACCTTTAATAATGTAAATACCAGTGTTTACTCACTAACCAGACAACACCAGTCCTTATCCCTTAGTTTGTTGACCCCTGATGCAGACCAAAAACCCTTCAGTTATGTGTTACCTAGTATGTCTTCCCACTTCTTAAGTAATCACATTAGTTGGTTTAAAGTAAAAATCTGAAAGCAAGGTACTATGAAAAATGAAGATAAGTTTATAAATGCTTTATAAATTGTGATTGTAGATTTTTTTACTTAATAAAAAAATTTAATGCCTTAAATTTCTAAACTGTGACCCTGATACATAGTTGTAGTTAAGTATCGCGGAGTCGGTCCCGACTCATAGTGACCCTGTACAGGATTTCCAAGACTATAAATCTTTATGGGAACAGAAAGCTTCACCTTTCTCCCGCGGAACAGCTGGTAGTTTCAAACTGCTGACCTTGAGGATAGCAGCCCGACTCATAGCCACTATGCTACCAGAGCCCCTTTGATACATAGTAGTGGTTTATAAAATCTAAGTGCCATAGATATAAGGGGACTTCAGAAAGTTCGTGGAACATTCCACTATCTTTTGATTCCATTTTTTCACAAACTTTTGAAGTCTTCTCATATGCATAAGGGTTATAAACATGTTTTTAATGGTGCCTAAAAATATGAATTACCTTTCATAATATATCAAGAAGGTTATGAAATGTATTTGAACAGTAGTCAAGCAGTATACTTTGTGACAGAAAAAAGAAAAACAATTCCTTAGTTAACTAATGGGAATAATAATGTTTTTTAGTGAATTAATTAAAGATGATTACAATGAAGCTGTTCACAAAAAGACAGAAGTTGTGATTACATTGGAATTCTGCATCAGAAACATTGAAAAAACTGTCAAAGTGTGAGTAGATTACTTCTTTACTAGTAGTGGTTGAAGGATTCACTGCTATTCCATTTCTGTTTATCTAGTTGTCTATGGCATAATTTAGCATGCCGTGCAAGTGTTTATACTACACTATGCAATTAATAATGATTTATAATGTTTAGAATGAGGAGCAACCTCAGCTTACTGATTACTTCATCACAAAGACAAAAGTTTCATTTCTCAGAAACCAACACTGTCTCTGTCATGGCTTCTCCCCCCTCTCTTTAATCTGCAATAGAAGCAGCTCATGTTTACCTTGCATAGTAGGCACTTTGAAAAGGAAAATATAAAACCTGTAGTCAACAAAAGAAATAGGGAGAGGTATTCTAGAACTGCCTTTTGATGATAGTTTATAAATTTTAGGAAGTCAGTTTTTGTTTACTCTAATTTATTAATCTTATCCCTGGGAATACCTGAAACAAAATTATATTTTAAACTTCCCTTCCCATAGGCTATAGTATTTGCACTACAAAGGAAATGTAATCAATGATATCACTACTACTGTTGTTGTTAAGTGCCCTCCAGTCAATTCTGATTCAGTAGTATAGGGTCTCCCAGGAGCAGCTGGTGGGTTTGAACTGCCAACCTTGTGGTTGGCAGTCCAGTGCTGATCCTAAAGCACCACACCCATATTATTGGCTCCATTAATGCTGAAATCTAGTATTTTGACTATCATCCTGGCATATGACTATTCAAAATTAATATGCCGTCTACATATTATCTCTTAATCTGCAAATTTATAAGTAAACAAATATAAAATTTCTTTTTTAGAAAGACTTCAGTGTTTCTTGGAATCTATTTGCTTATATACTGTGCATCAGTTTTTTATTCTTAAATGACTATAAAAAAACTAAAAATAGAATATATTAAAAAAAAACGTAAAATCTCTACTGTTACACACATTTAAGTTTTTATTAACTTATTTTTCTTATTTGACTTATAATTGACTTATTTTTTCATACAGATATGAAAAGTTGATGCAGATCAATTTAGAAGCAGCAGAGCTAGGTGAGATTTCAGATATACACACCAAATTGTTGAGAGTAAGTATTTACAAAATTATAAAAATCATAGGCTCATAATTGAATTCTTTGCTGGCAAGATTAGATCTAAGCTCTTCAAGAGAGATAATATATCTAAACTCTGCAGAGGAAAAGTAGCCTTTTCCCACTTTTAGGGACTTCTTATAATATTTAAATACCCTTTGTTGTTGTTAAGCTGCGGACCCTACAGCTCAAACTGACCTTGCAATCCAGTGCATTATCCTTCTTAGAACATTTTTAAATGCCTGCTACTTTAAACTCTTTCTCTCTCTCTTTTCTTAAATTCATAATGTTCTTGTGTTTCTGCTTAATTTAATTTTCTTTGGCATAATATAGCATGTATTTGTTCGTATCCGATGTAGCAATAAAGCAAGTTCATTAATGGAATTTAACGTTTAGAATACTTAATTTTGTTTAGAAGTAGAAACAAGTGCTATACGTACGCAAACTTGGTAGTATTTGAAGTATTTTTTCATAGAATGGATTTTAAATTAAAAGTGAAAGAGTTTATGCTATTTCCTTCCTCCTCTTTTCCAGCTTACATTGATTATTGTTTCTTTCCTTCAGAATTCCAGCTCCTAAAATAGTGTTTTCTTATGACTCAGGAATGACTAGTAGACTTGGACATTTAGCACATTCTGATCAGCAATTTTTAAAACATGGAATTGAATAGAAATAGCAAATGTCAGGATGTATTACATAGAATAAGGAAGTTGCTGTTTCAGGAAACTTTTTATTCAGTTAATTAATACAGATTTAAAAGTTACTGGATTAAAATATAAAGTGAATTTTGACAAACACAGAATAAAACTATTAAATGTCAGAGAAATAAGAATTATTCCTCTCTTGTAGCTGTCTGTATATAAGTCTGTATATAAACTGTAAATTGCAAGTGTTGATACTTTTTCTTTGCTTTTGTCTTAGAAGTTGATCTACCAGCTCCTAGGCCTGATAGACACTTGTTTCCAGTGACAGTGTTGCTTTGAATACTTTGATATTGAAATTTTTCTTTGAGGAGCACAAAGTGTTTTTCACTTTTATTATATTTTTGTGAGACTTAGATTTCTAATAAAATTGGAGCCTGGAGTGATTAAATAGCATAAACTTACAGAATCATCTGAATTAAGGGTTCCTGACTTCAGACCTATTATTTTTCACTAAATTTCTTTGTTTTTCCTGTAACGTGTTGAATTGTTGTGACTTTTTCTGTGGAAGACCTTAAGAATTTTTTTCTACCACAAACGTAAAATTATAGGTAGATAAAAATTTTGCATATGCCTACTACCCCAAAAAATGATTATTAAAGTTTTGTTCATTGTGCTGTAGTGATGATTCTTATGGGGTTCCTGCACCCCCAGCATCAGCCTCACAGGAGAACTTAACAGAAATACAAACAGCTGGGCCCCACCCCGGAACTACTGAATTTGAAATTATGGGGATGGGTCTCACAATCAGTGTTTAGTCACTGTTTTACAGTCTTCTTGTATGTTTGTTTTAGTGCCTTCGAGTCAGTTCTGACTCATAGTGACCCTGTATAGGGTTTCCAAAGAGCAGCTAGTATGTTTGAACCACCATCCTTATGGTTTGCATTCCAGTGCTGATCCTACAGTACCAAGCCAGGACTCCTTTTTTACATACTACTAAATGGCTTATTCTATGAATATAAAATTTTTATGTTTTTGAATAACACTGTAGGAGCACAGTGACTCTGTAGGATAAGCACTAGACTGCTAACCTGTAAGTCGGTGGTTGAAACCCACCCGCCACTCCACAGAAGAAAGATGAATCTCTATGAGTTAGAACTGACTCGATGGTACTTAACAACAACAATGTAGTTGCAATCATTTTCCAGTGTTTTTATGCTACTTTTTAGTAGCCAATGAAATTATTATAGTTTAATTGTTATTTCTCAATTGTTGCTCTCTCAGGTTGTTTGCTATTTTTCACTCTTTAATGTAATACTGTAAGAAATAACTTTGTTCATAAATAATTATCTGTATTTTGAAGTATTTAACACATTCTAAACATCAATGTTAAAGAAAACAGAAACCATAAAAGGCAAGATATACATTGGATAATATCAAAATTAAAATTTTGTGTTTAAAAAAAAGCTTAATTAACAAACTGACAAAATGTGTTAGAGATTTTATATAAATAGCTCAAATTGGTAAGGAAGTATCAAGTCAGCAAAAAATAAATTAGTAAAGAACATAAGCAAACAATTTGCAAATGAAGAAAAATATATCTAGTTAATAAACTTGGAAAAAAATGTCCACACAGAATAATAATAGAAAATTGCCTATTTTTATCTTTCAAATTAATAAGACCTTAAAAATTATACCAATGCTAATAAGAGTGTACTCTTTAGAAAGGGCTATTTTTATTGTTAAACCTGCGGTACAGTTAAGTGCTTGGCTACTATTTGAAAAGTTCAGAATTGACTTTGTGGCAATTATCAGCAATAACCCACTTGACAAGCAATAATGTGCATCAGGAGCCTTTAAATCTTGAGACATAGTTAATTCTTTCATTCTTTTTCTTATTTTTAAAAAACTTATTATTGTCATTTGGGTAAAAGTTTAGAGAGCAAGTTGGTTTTCCATTCAGCAGTTCATAAACATTCCCGCAATGTAACAGCACTCTTCTAATGCCTCCCTGTGTTTAACATTTCCATTCATCCTTCTTTCTTATCCTTTCCAGTCTTTTGAACTTCATCCCCTGGCTAATGCTGCCTTACTGACCTTGGATATTTGATGGTTCTAGGGAAAACATACTTCCTAGTCTTTAATTCTAGCCTCCATCCTTCCTTCAGAACTTTTCCAAATAAGTATAAATAAGATTTACAGATAAGTGATTCCTTTACTAAACTGAAATGGAAAAGAAATTAAAATGTGGTTTATCTTCTGTTTTCAAGAGGAGTTGTGTGTGTGTACATGTGCGTGTATGTGTGTTTGGCCTCTAAACAGAGAACAAATATTGGATACCTACGTTTTATACAGAGATCATGCTGATGGTTTTATGTTGGGTATAGTTAATATTCACAACAACTCTGAGATAAAGTACTAACCATATTTTATAGGTAAGAAAACAAATGCAATTTTTTTACAGTAACTATTGTGAATTAGGTGAAGGTTTACAGACAAGATCATCAGCTCTGCATTCAGTAAACCATTCACCTTGCTTCATCTCAATGATTGTAATCCTTTCCCTGTAACACTAAACAAATGTCATTTGATGATTAAAAGTATTTTGTACTTTTTTAAGAAGGATGTTTAATCTGTAAAATATTTTCTAAAATGTCTTAATAGTTGGTCTCATGTTTTATCATCATATGAATTTTAAGATATAGCTTTTCATATTAACATTCTGAGATTTGTCTTTTGATTGAAGTATGTTTAGTTTAATTGAATCTTCTATTTCTTAGTGATGTATGAGATAGTGCTACATTTACAGTCAGGTTGTAGATATGCTCAAATACAGTATCTTGACTGAATTTCCTCATATATAAAAAATTATAGAGTTTCAGCCTACCTCTTGGTAGGCAACAACTTAAGAAACCATCCTTGCATTTAAGATGAAAATAATTACTCAGACTTTGAATTGAAGTTATGTATGAAAAAGAAATATGATCTAGACTTTAGACTCCACTCACACTGTGATGGTCTTCTGTAATGTTTGGCAATCTGGATCTGAATTCATTGGTTTTATTTAGCTTTCCAGTTCTCAGGGAACAATAGACACCAGTCTTCAAGATATTGAAGGTAAATTGTCTCCAGGTGGATTGCTGTCAGATACATGGGCACATCAAGAAGGCACTCATCCGAAAGATAGAAAGTAGGTTAAAACATTATTGGTGATTTCTGCTCTTAACTATTAAATGCCCTTTTTCATATTGATTCAGTTAATTCATTTGGATTTTTCTTCCTTAAATAGTGTAGAAAAGCTACAAGTACTGCTAAATTGCATCACAGAGATTTACTATCAGTTCAAAAAAGACAAAGCAGAACGTAGTAAGTAAAATTTGCCATTTGTCAATGTAAAGAATCAGTCTTAATAGTTCTAATTCAGTTGAACTAATTTGGTAAATTTGTCAGGGTGGCCATTTAAATTATTTATTTCAGAAATGTTGTTTCTTTAGGAAAGAGGTTGAGTCTACTAAAAAGTATTTCCAAAACAGACATTTTAAACATTTATATGTATTATAAATCAGGGGTCTTAAACTTCAGTGCTTCTAGAGACCAGGCAGGTAACAGAAAGGAATAAGATTGGCCAATGAGGCTGAGGAGAGTCAGAGAGGAGGGGCAGCTACAACACTATGTAGCCAATACTTATGGTCACCTGACTTGTTCTATTTCTTAAGAGAAGCAAGAATACAGATTTTGTTAGAAATATCCTGATTTCCAAATGTTGACTTTTTTTTTTGCTTTAATGTTATCACTATACAGACCAAATTGAAATGATATTATCCCATGAGCCACCAGTTTGCCACATCTGTTTTCTACTCTTCGGGTTTGTTTTTTTTTTAGCAAAATATTTTATTTTATGTCAGTATACATATGAAAGGGCTTCAAAAGATTTGTGGAAAATGGAATTTTTCCACAAACTTTTTGAGGCCCCATTGTATAAATCATAACAAAAAATAAAAGATAAAGAAATATAAAAATACATATGTGTGATGTGATTCTATGTTTCTGCATTTATAAAAGTATTTTTTCTTATTTCTAGGACTAGCTTACAATGAAGAACAAATTCACAAATTTGATAAGTAAGTATTCAGTTTAATTAATATTCAGGTTAATAAGTTTTTTGGTGCTCTATGGTGAGATAAGCACGAGACAGTAAAGTCAGCTTGAACTGCAAGATCAGCTGTTCAAACCCACTATCTGCTCCTAGGAAGCCCTGTACAGGGTTGCTTTGAGTTGGAACTGAATTGACAGCAGTAACAACAACAACAAAATGGTTACATTACTGATACGATACTTTTCAAAGTTGAATAAGAAAGTACCTTTTTAATCTTGGTTTTATAGGATTGTAACTGTACTTGCACATTATTGAGGCCCTCGTCAAATTGCACTTATCTGATCCCTGATTGGGAGACTACCTGGAGGGTGGGCTGGGGGTTGGCAGGTGCAGATCACCATTCCACTCAGTCTGCAATTTGATCCGTTCTGATTACAGAGCACAGATAATAGACAAGAAAGGAGGACAGACTTACCCACTTACATAACTCTACAGAACAGTGATTCTCATTTAGGAAATATTTTCTGAACACTCTATTTTGAACCTATGCCTTTTGCTTGTGTCTCTGCCTTGGAAACCTTTGATGTCTACTCTAAATACAACCAGTCCCCAGGTTACAAACATGAATTAGGAACAACTTGTACTTGCCCTTTGTTGTTTTTAAGTGTGACTCCTAGCGACCCTATGTAAGGTTTCTGAGGAGCAGGTGGTGAGTTTGAACATCCCATCTTGTGATTCAAACTAACCTTGTAGTCTAGTGCTTATCCTACAGTACCACACCAGGACTCCTAACGTATGTAAATGTGTTATCACTTTGAGATGATTGAGTCACCCCCTACTTGCAACAAATTCTTCATTACAGTTGTCTTCACATTTGCTTGTGCAGCTTTTAAAACACTGAGAAGACTCTAAGCCTTTTCTTGTACAAAAGTGAGGCCAATTAAGAGCTATAAACACCTGTCCCAACTTATCTACAAATTCCAGTTAGACACACACTTAGGAATGGATCTCGTTCATAACCTGGGGAATGCTTATACTCTAAAGCTACAACCTCATTATAGAGAGTGGATACACTTCACATATGTGAAAAAGTCTTGATGTTGGAAATAGAGTGAAAACAGTTTAAGCTTCTTTGATTATTTCCAAATTACAGGCAAAAACTCTATTATCATGCAATAAAAGCTATGACCCACTTTACTGATGAATGTGTTAAGAAGTATGAAGCATTTTTTGAAAAGTCAGAAGAATGGATGAGGTAGGTAAATGTGTTTTGGGGAAAGAGTGGTTGATTACAACATACTATTTAATGTTTGTGATATTAAAGGATTTGTACTTCATTAAGTTACCTATTAATTCTTTGTGATTTTCAGAAAGATGCTTCATCTAAGGAAACAGTTGTTATCACTAACTAATCAGTGTTTTGATATTGAAGAAGAAGTATCGAAGTATCAAGACTACACTAATGAGGTACCAAACCCAAAACACTAAACCAACTGCCATCAAGGCAGGTCTGAGTCTTGGCAATCCTGTAAGGGGTTTCCAATACTGCCAGTGTAAACAGGAGCAGACAACCTCATCTTTCTCCTGATGATCTTGAGGTTAGCAGCCCAATGCTAATCCACAGTGCCACATCAGCAATTTCAGATACAGTAAAAGAGCCATTTTCTCCCTTCTTGTTGTTGTTATGTGCCATGGAGTCGGTTCCGACTCATAGCGACCCTGCATAGGGTTTCCAAGGCTGTAAATCTTTACGGGAGCAGAAAGCCTCATCTTTTTCCCACGGAACAGCTGGTAGTTTCGAACTGCTGACCTTCCGGCTTGCAGCCTGATTCGTAACCACTACGCTAATTATTCTTAGTTTATACCTGATAATACCTGGTATGGTGCTGCAGGATAATGTGCTGAACTATCAGGTTAGTTTGAACCACATGGTGGTTCAGACTCACCAGCTGCTCCACTGAAACACTATACAGGGTTGCCATGAGTCAGAATCAATTCTATGGCGCTTAACAGCAGTAAGAACAATAATTGAGAAGGGAAGAAATAGGATAGAATGTGTATAATATTCTGTTTTCTCACTTGTTTTGATACGTATTCTGTACCAAAATTTTAAAATGTGGATACTTTAAAATTCAAAGCATGTGGTAGACCATAATTTTATCATCTATACAAAAAGTTGTTTAAGTATTGTGTTATGTCATTAATGGCTCCTAAATTACAGTTTAATGCTATAAAGAGTTTATTAAAATCTGTAATATGTGGCTCAGTAGTAAATATTCTATTGTGAAATTGATGTAGGTTTTTGATATTTCAGTTACAAGAAACTTTGCCTCAGAAAATGTTTGCAGCTTCCAGTGGAATCAAGCATACCATGCCCCCAATTTATCCAAGTTCTAACACGTTAGTGGAAATGACTCTTGGGTAAGAAACTTATCATCAGTAACTAAAGGTTTCCATTTAGTTTTATTTCAGTTTGTGATCCTACTTTTATATTTTAAAATCCTTTAATGTTTCTTCTGAGTATAACATTTATTAATTTTCTTAAATGAATTAGTTAATTCATTTAAGAATTAATGAGTAGATTTGAACCACCATCCTTGCGATTAATAGTCCAATGCTTAACCCACTGTGCTACCAAGGCTCATTGGAGAGCTAATTATAAAAGTGTGCAAGGGACCAGACGTGGTTTTTTTCTATTAAATTTTTCTGTAAACATAAAACTACTCTAAAATATACATCATACTAAAACATTTGCATACCTGTTTTGCTCAGAGGTGCTTATTTATTTATTTTATATGTTTAGTATGAAGAAATTAAAGGAAGAGATGGAAGGTGTGGTTAAAGAACTTGCTGAAAATAATCATATTTTAGAGAGGTGAGTAATGAAAAATCATACTGTACTTTGATTTTATATATAATTGAGTATATATTTATCTATACTTGTATCTACTTGTATAAGTAGGTAGGCAAGGGAAAGGAATAAACAGTCATATAGATCCCTTATGGTTTCCAGTGTGATCGTGAAATCAGTGATGCCTGTTTATTGGGTTATTTGCATCAAGATGTCAGTTGTGATGATTCCATTTCAGAGTAGCATTGATTAGTAGAATTATTTGCTTATTTAAATCAGTTTTTTGAAAGCAAAATCTCTTATACATTATTATCTATAATTAGAATAGTAATTTTCAATTTAGGGGCAGCACTCTGGTGGTATGTAACTTGCTGAACCCTCTGCAGAATCTTTGCAGAGGATATAAAGTCCTAATAAATGAGGGAGAACAAACATGAAAAGGTACAGAGCTAGTAAGGCCGTCTGGGTGAGATCCTTGCCTCATCCTGGTTCCTGAGAGTGTCATGGATTGGATTCTATCCCTGCGATGTTATGTGTAGACTTGGCTAGGCCATGATTCTCAGTGCTATGTAGTGTACAAATAGGAAGCACCAACCATTCCTCCCAAAGCCCTCTCTACTCAGACAGAACTCAGACATCATGCTCTCAGTTGTGGGGTTTATTAGAGAAGTGAGCAGGTTACAATACAAGATCAGAAGATGCTTAGGGCACAGTTATTCCAGTTAGATGCTGATAAATTCCCACAGGACACATTGCTCCACCATAAGCCTCAGCCTGAAGGTACTCAACTCTAGTTCCGTGTGTCAGCAAACCTAGCTCCCCCACTTAAGTGCTTGGAAGCACTTCACTGTATAAGCAAGATTCCCGCCTGGAGTCACTCTGCTTTACCTGTACCGTGGACTGGGAAGTCCACTACTCTCTCTCTTGCTCTGGGTTTTGGTTCTGCTACTTCTGGTCTTCTGCCACTTCTCTGGTGTCACAGCTTCCTGTCCCTGGTCGAAGAAGCTCAGTGCACAGGAATCTTGGTGTCCAAAGGACGAATTCCACTCCTGGCTCCACGTCTTTGATAATAGTGAGAATCCCCTCTCCTTCTTCTGAGGTGGCTCATGTTAAACCTATGCTAGAGTTTCAAGTTTTTATAATTAACTGTGCTAACATGTACAATTGATTCCTGTCATCCTATTAGTATCTTCTTCCACCATCTCTTACCCAGACACAGCAGGGCAGAAATGTTGTTTGGTGGGAGTTACAGACTCTGGCTAGAAGTGACACTAAACCACATGCAGTTATCCTCCGTTTTGTGATTTGATGTCTTTATTCTGTGCTGTTAATGCTAACCTCTGTATGTTAATGAAGCAGAATTAGGAGCAGTAGTGTGATGAAACCTAATATAACCGGCAGGATGAGGTGTGTGGTATCTTAAGTCAAATCTTGAGATAATAAAAGCGATTAAACAAGTGGGCAGAGATCAGAGAGACCTCAGTAACATCAAAAAAGAAGAGCTGGGAGCAGAGTGTGTACTTTGAACGCAGGGTCCTGGTGCTGGAAGACTGATTCCAGGACACGTGGAAATCTCCAAGGGCCACAAGCCCCTAGATATTGAAAAGGGACAAGAACCTTCCCCCAGAGCCAACCAAAACAAAGCTTTCCCCTTGAGCTGGTACACTGAATTCACGCTTCAAGCCTCTAAACTGTGAGAAAATGCATTGCTGTTTGTTATTTTTGGTGATATGAAAAGTGGCTAAATGTGAATATAGTGAACACAGGATAAGCCAAGTAAAAAATGAGTGTTTGAGCACATATGATGGGTATAAGCAAATTGGTATATGGGTAGGGGTAGGTGTATACATCCATGAGCACACACAGATAGGTCTATAAAAAAACAAAACTTACTGTCATCGATTCAATTCTTATAGTCTCCCTGTGTAAGGGTTCCGAGTCTATAAATCTTTATGGGAGCAGAAATCTTCATCTCATAGGTTTGAATTGCCAACCTTGCAATTAGCAGTTCAGTGCTTTTCCTACAGCAATAGGTACAGGTAAATACAAATATGTGGATGCAGGCACATATAGTCATTGCAAACAGAAATGTGTCTCTTCTTCAGACATAACCAAAAACCTTCCAACATTGGTTTTCTGTGTTTGAAGGCTTAGGATAATAGTCTCATGGGACTTTGTACAGCTTCTATAAAGCTTTTAAGTTTCCTTTCTGTTACTGAGAATGTGTGGTGTCTGGGATAGATAATATTCAAGTGAATTTTTTTTCCATGCCCCCTCTCACCTATCTAGCCAACAGAGTCCTGGTGTGGCGCTGTGGGCTAATGCACCAGACTGCAAAGTTGTTTGAACTGCAAGGTCAGTGGATCAAGCTCACCAGCTGCTCCTTGGAAACCCTATATAGGGTTGCTATGGGTCGGAATCGACTCGATGGCACTTAACAATGACATATATAAATAGATAGATATAAATATATCTATCTATCTATATACATATATATATATATATCCCACATATTATATACTAAAATCTGTCATGCCTACCCAAAATTTTAAAACACTCCATTATTCAGCATGATGGATTCCATTAGCCCTCCGATAGATTTTTTTTTCTATAAGATCTTAAGAACAGAATACAGTTAATGAAGGGGTTAATTCTAGAACAGAGCCTATCCCCAAGTATTTCTATACTGTCTTAGTGTGTATTATAACTTAAAAAAAAAAATTCAAAATCACTGAAGCTTAACATGGTGTATTTGAGTGTTTTTTTCTCTGCAGTCTCTTTTTATTCAAATGTAACTCTGCTTCTGCCTGGTTTTTATGCCCACATATGACAAAAACACATGTAAATGTTCTTCATTCTGAATTTGTCTGATTGTGTGTGTGTGTTTGTGTGTGTGTGTGTGTGTGTGTGTGTGTGTGCGTGTGCTGTCACTAAAGTTAGGGAGTCCTGACAGCATAGTAGTTAAAGTACTTGACTGCTAACCAGAAAGTTGGTAGTTTGAACCCACCAGCTGCTACTCCATAAGAGAAAGCTGTGACGGTCTGCTTAATGTTTCATAGATGATACTGTGTACTTCAGATGGCCTCATGTCAGAACACATATAATACACATATTTGTCCCACTATTTGAATGCTAGATTAGAGTAGAGAAAGCCAGATGTCTCCATTGTAAAGGCAGTTTTTTCCTATTGCAGTCAGCAAGTGGTCTGTGAGCTGACATGTTTGCAGGATGTGAATTACCTATTCCTGATTGTGTTTTACTTGACTTTAGCATCCTCTGAGGATCTTTGCCTGAATTAATTATTTTATGGAGATGGAGGTTCCAAAATACTGGGTTTTCTAATTCTATCATTCCTATATGAAATTTTTCCTGGACTTACACAATAAAGAAAAACTTTCCCTCACCAAAATGGAGAAAACAAAAACAAAAAACATGCCTTGGTGAACTTCCTTATGTATATCTTCATATATTTGTGTCAGAATTTCGGGGGAGGTGGGGATCAATTTATGTGCAATTAATGGGACTCCTGGTGTGGCACTGTAGGATCAGCTCTGGACTTCCAACCACAAAGTTGAAAGTTCAAACCCACCAGCTGCTCCTCAAAAACCCTGTATAGGGTTGCTATGAGTCAGAACCAACTCATTGGCACTTAACAACAACAACAGTGGGTCAAAAGGAGTCCTGGTGTGGCACTGTAGGATAAGCACTTGACCATAAGGTCAGTTTGAACCACAAGTTCAGTGATTCAAGCTCACTAGCTGCTCCTTGGAAACCCTATAGAGGGGTCACTATGCGTTGGAACCCGACTCTGTGCACTTAACACCTACAGTAACATTTAACAATGGGTTAAATTTTTATTGTTTATTTGTTCTTTAAAAGGTTTATGTGTTAACATAGTTAACAGGAACAAACTATGCCTTTATTAACTCTGAATATTAATCACCTTTTTCAGTGTTTGCCAGTTTGTTTAGTAAAAGCTGGTATCTTGTTTTAATTTGCATTTATTTGTCTAATAATATTAAGCATCTTTTAATTTTTGGGTTTTTCACATTTTTCTAGTTAAATGCTTGTTCGTTTTTTGTTTGTTCATTTGTTTTATCTTTTTCTGTTGACTTATAGAAACTATATAGTAATAACTTATTATTGATCCAATTTATCATTTCTTCACAGCTTCATCTATATCCTATATTTATCCTGTAGGACTAAAGATCAGGTAGAACCAGCTGTTTAAATATACTTTGTTGTTGTTGCAAAGACCACAACAACAGTTTTCTGAGGAGCAGCTGGTAAGCGTGAACCACCGACCTTGTGGTTCAAACCGACTTTGCAGTCCAGCACATTAACCCATAGCACCACGGTCACTTATACATTGTAGATTAAAATCCAAAGCATGTCCAGTAAATCAGTTCCCTTATGGCTTATTTGCAGGCTCATTCAACAATATGTGAGTGATATAGCTTAGTCTTACCTTAACAATGTAAGGATTGGTGACAGAATTAGTGATAGAAGCCAGATCTCGTGTCGAATGTTGTCTCTACATGGATCTCCCACTATTACTCCATTTATTTTCATCTTTCCCAAGTTCATCTATCCCTCTAATTTCCTCATCATCTTCAGCGGGACCACCTTTCTTTTACTCTCTTGAACATAAAACATTTTAGATACTTAACTCTTCTTTACTCCTTCTCATCAAGTTTGGTAATCTTCCTTCAAACTGTTTTTGGTGTTTCCTCTTATCACCATAATTTACATCTCCTTGCCCTCTCACATGGGAGCTATGGTAATAACCTGTTAACTTAACCGCAGGTGCTTCCCATTCATGGCTATTCCAGTCAACTTAACCCCGACATACTGAGCTAGTCATGTTGCCCCCTCGACTCAAAAGTCTCTAAGCTCTTGTTACATAAGAAATCAAATCTAAAATCTAATTCACACTCTCATTCAAAGAACATAACAGTCTGGCCTCCACTTACTCACCCAACTTTATTGCCCACCATACCCCCAAAAAACAAGTACTGGTGTGGCACTGTAGGATAAGTTCAAGATTCCAGAGTCGGTTTGAACCACAAGACCAGTGGTTCAAACTCAGCAGCTGTTCCTCAGAAACCAACTTAAAGCATTCAACAACAACAACTCCTTAAAATAACATCTTATTTTTCAACAAGTTTCCATTTCTCATTTCCCTTGAGTATGTCAGACCTACTCTCATCATTGATGTAGACTTACTGTACATCATTGCTCAGAATTCCCATCCCATTTTATTTGTAGTAACACTTTCTAAACTATAGCACCCCCCATTTTTTCTCTTAGAAAGCCTTCCCCAGTTATTGTATTGCTTTTGTTTTCATGCATTTATGTTAATACTTAAGTTTCAGGTAAGAAATAGAACAAATCATTGTTGTTTAAACCCTTTAAAACTATTTCTCTGAAAGGTATTCTATTTTTTTAAGATGTTGGGGGCCAAGTAAATGGTTTCAAATTGCTTTTTTCCTTTTCTTTTGTGTTTCAGGTTTGGCTCTTTGACCATGGATGGGGGCCTTCGCAATGTTGACTGTCTTTAGTAAGAAATTTGAGAAAAATTTCCATTTGCACAAGAAGATAATGCCAGGGCATTCAATGAATGCCTTTATGAATGGTCTCTCATGTCTACAATTCAGTATTTGATGTGGAAATGTAAATATGTAGTATATTGTAAATATATTGAAAAATACTAATTTTTGGCTGCTGTTAAAATGTAATTTTACCTTTTAACATTTATAATTACATGAGGAAATTTGACCTCAGAGAGCACTAGAAGAAAGCCATGACCAATATCTTAAAGTTACTGATCCTCTGCTCTTCTGTAGAGGTTGCTAGGGCTAATCAAGACATATTTCTCTGAATGCCAACTGAAAACATTTTTTAAGTGGAGTAAAAATTGGCATCCTTACAAGTCAGAGAAGACTGATAGTTGGTTGATGCGTTTGTAAGTGATAGAATATAGAAGCAACTCTTGTGTATGAGTAGAAGAACCAAACCACTGTTTTGCTAGAACCACAACTTTTTTGAGAAGGATTGTTGTGAAGTGCCATCGAGTCAGTTCCGACTCATAGCGACCCTGCATAGGGTTTTCAAGGAGTGGCTGGTGAACTTGACTTTTCAGTCCAGTGCATTAACCCTCAGTGCCACACAAGGATTCCTTGAGAAGGATGAAATGGCATTATTTCATTTTTCAAGGTGCCCAAATCCCCAGTTAATTGTTTAATTTCAGGTGATGAATTATTGAGCAAAATTTTAAATTTTTGAGTCATTATTAAGAACTGTTCATTTTTTTTCTTTTGGCCATAAATATATAATTGTCGTAAAAATTTTAGGGTCATTTTAACTGTTTTAAGCTGTATATTTTTTTCTTTAATTCTGCTTACTACTTTATGAAAAAATATCAATAAATTTCTTGATTTTTAATATATAAAGAGTTTATGTGTGTCTGTACACCGTTTAAGAAACAAGTTATATTTTGAAAGAAATATTGATAATGATAAGTTATTCTCAGATAATTTCATTATATCTGTAAATCCATTAATTGAAAGTTGGATGTAAGTTCACTTATACAAATTAAGTGGCACATTCTCTTTGAAAAATCTACCCTGAGTTCAGACTAAAGGATTGTGTTCAACAAGAATTTTTTTTTATCTATCTAGGATTTTCACTTGTTTTTGTTTTGGTCTCTGATTTATCAGAGTATTGAATGTGATTAAATACAATGTGTGTATCATAAGAGTATCATGTCTTAAAGAGTAAGTAAATTTGACTACCATGAATGTTGGAAAATAAATTGCTTTTAAAATTGAAATGAATTAAGATTTTATTTGAGATCATTGATGCACTATTGTATGTAATTTTGAGTGCCACATATACACATTATAGAAATAATGCCTGTATGAGTTCCTTATGTAAACACAATTATCCCCTCTCTTGCGTTTGTGCAATGAAGAAATGTTTAATCCTTCCTCATATTTTTCATTTGACCATCTAACATATGTTTAATCATACAGTTTATATATTTATGTCACTGAACATTTGGTAAAATTTTACTCAGATTATGTAATCAGTTGGTAAATTTGTAGATTGAGTGTTTATTTTAGCAAATCTAGAAAAGAATATTAATAAACAATCCCGTGCTGGGGGAATTATATATTTTTATTAGTTACATTTTTAAAAACAAATCTATTCTACAGTAGTGTTTTTTAAAAAAGACTAACTTTTTATTCCCTATGACATTGACATGGGAACCCACCTTTGTGTGTGTGTGTGTGTGTGTGTGTGTGTGAGTGACTTGGATGAAGCTGTACAGAGTAAATTCATTTTCCATTCAGTAATTTATGCACATTTTGTTTCATGTCATTGATTGCAGCCCCCACAATGTCACATCACTTTTTCTACTTCCTCCCTGTGTTTCCTGCTTCCATTCCTTCTTGTTTCCTCACCTTGAATTTTGCCCTTGGGTAACTGCTGCCCTTTTGATCTCAGATGGTTGTGTGTACCTCCTTAGTGTGATTCTTCCCCTTGTAGACCTGCTTGTTTGGCTGAGAACTGAACCATTGAGACATGGCTATTGTGAACTTGTTTCCAGACCTGACGGGTGACTAAGGGCTGATCCAACCAGAAATCCTCGTCTTTTTTGAGTTTGAGTTTTGAAAAACCAAGTGCTTTCACATTTTACATTAGAAAATGCTTCCTCATTGAAAACATTTTTAAGTCAACAAATGGAATACCAGTTTGCTAACTTAATTTTCAGTGTGACTACTTAAGTGAAATTAATTTTAAAATAAGTTGTACCTTTAGTTAGTAGTGGGCTGCTTTGTTTTCAACATTAGAATGTTTCCAAAAGAGAAGTATAAATGGTATAGAAAGTAATGTATATAGCAAGTAATAGAGGTAATGATTTAATGTAACATAGAGATTATAGCTCCTAACAGTAGAAGAAATAAATATGCAATATGACATGGCAAAGTATGTGAAAGAAAATAAGAAGAATTAAAAGGTAGGAGAGAAATGTGAAGAGTGATCCCATAACATCTAAAACTATAATTCCTCTTCAACTCTTTTTGAAATGACCAAATGCTGTACCCATGGTTTATAGACCTCATTGTTGTGAAGTGCTGTCGAGTCGGGTCTGACCCATAGTGACCCTGTGTAGCATTTCCAAGGAGCAGCTGGTGAGCTTGAACCACTGACCTTGCAGTTCAAATGGCTTTGCAGTCTGGCGCATTTACTACCACAGCGCCACACCAGGACTCCCTATGCGGTCTCAAACAGAATGCCTCCTCTTAGACATACAAGATCTTCAAAAAACATTTTTTGAAAAATGTCTTCGTTAGTAAGTTATCCAGAACAAAGTCACAATGACCCTAGATTTACTTGATTTCATTAATCGGTGAAGTCTACCCTTTGTGCTGTTCTGCACTGAAAATAAGAGATAACATTGTTGAGAATTAAGGAATGTGCACTCTCATCTGAAACGGCAGATTACAGCCCAAACCAGAGCTAGTCCTATATTTCTGACTTCACCCCATTCAGACAAATCTTTTTCCACACTGTGTTTGCCTTTGAGGAAATGCAGCAGAACATGTGGAATTACAAAAAACTAGTTTTTAAAACCAAAAAATGCTGGGCAAATGCTGCTCAAAGGAAAACAAAAGTTTTTAATGCTGGATTCCCTCACCCCACATCCCTCTTTTAAGACCAAAACATCTAAAAAAGTCTTACATTATTGTTTTAATTGGACTTCTTCCCAATTGTCACTTACTGTACGAATCAAAATCTAGATTCCCCAAAATCCTGAAAATAGAATTGAAAAAAAAAGCTGCATCTGATGTAGAAATAAAAAAGTGATTATATAATTCCTTTTTTTACTTTAGAGTGTAATCAGCTTGGAAAATGTTTGCAGTATATAGAAGTTCAGCCCATATTGTTACATCAGGCTGTTATAGGGACTAAACAAGTTTATTTCTTTGGGCATAAAAAGTACACAAGGACCAACTGTTAGACATGGCTTCAGGGATGGCGATGGAGCCTCAGAGTAAGTTATATGGTTGTTGTTATGAAGTGTGTCGAGTCGGTTCCTACCCACATCGACCCTGTATAGGGTTTCCAACGAGCAGCTGGTGAGTTTGAACCGCCAACCTTGCAGTTCAAACAGTTTTGCAGTCTGTCACATTAGCCCACAGCGCCACACCAGGACTCCAAGTTATATAGTAGGCAGCTAGATACTGGTGTCTGCTGACAAACAGTAATTATGAAGAATGTTCTAATGAAATGTTCAGTAACAGGCTACAATCCAAAGCAGGTTCCTAGAAAAAGCTTGCTTTTTTACATTATTTCTTGACACATAGGAGTCGGTTCAATTTTTTTTTCGAATAAGTTTCTGACAAGGTTTAAGCTGCTGGTGGTGGTGGTGGTAGTGGTGTGCTGTGGAGTTGGTTCTGACTCAGCAACCCTGTATAGGATTTCCAAAGCTGTAAATCTTTACGGGATCAGAAAGCCTCACTAGGTATCAGTTTTTCAGTGAAAAAACAACAACAACAAAACACAAAACATATGGCATCAAAATGATGGCTTTGGGAGAGAGCTTGTTGGTCACCACTGTGTCTTAAGAATTGTCTTTGACAGTTCTTCTGTGGGATGCTGTCTTAGTGGATACCGGTTTCTTCACTCTAAAGATAATTGTACAAAGAGAGTGGAGAGTCAGTGCTTAAAAGTTATCAAGTATATTTGTTTAGAGTTTCTGAAGCTTAAAACTCTTTCTTTAGAAAGAACATCTATTAATACAGTTTCTGGTCATGAGGGCTAAGGTCCAAAGGACAAACCAATGGAATGACAGAGGAAAGGGATTTAGGGCTAACAGGTGGTCTCCAGACATATTGGCTGAAAAAGTTCACAGCTAAAGTGTCACATGTGGGTGTTGCTGTGTCTTCCTCGTTTATGCTGCAACACTGTTATAGCCATGGCCATAAGGAGCGACTTCAGTAAGACCTTCAGGAGACTAGCCCGGCTTTTTTACTGGTTCCCCAAGTCACTGACCTGCTCAAAGAATCGGAAATCCAAGTTGCTGTTGCGCCAAGCTGGAGGTAAATCACCTTAGGCTAATGCTTTGCTTCAAATAAGTTTTCTTCTGTTAGTAAAATGGAGTCTCCAGTGGGGAGGGGAAGGACTTGAAGTTAAAAAATAAATACTTAAAGTGATAATTGGGGGAAACTAAGCAAATATGAACTAAAGTAATTGGGTGAGGTATTAAAAGCAATGAACAATTTATCCAATTTTATACTTTTTAGGCATTTAGATAGAAATGGAGAAGGTTTAACTTTGAAAAGCATGTAAAATAATTTATTTTCAGTAAACCTTTACTTACTTGTAGTCTACACACTATAAACAGAAAATAATCAGAGTGATTTCCCCTAGAAAATTAAAATGGTCAATAGGTCTTACATTTATTTTTGAGGGGAGGTCAGTTTACGTGGCACGTGTTAGTCAGGTATGTATTGACGTGAGATTTGAAGGTACCTTTAATATGCTGCCACATACATCCCCGCGTATCCATCTGCT